TGGCTGACTCAGAAGTCGACACTGATGGCTGACTCAGAAGTCGACACATCCATGTCATGCCCCATGTCATGATGATTCTTCGGGCGATGTTTCAGGCACCATGCGACAGTTGGGACGGTCGTGCGAGACTTGGGGTAGCTGGGGCCCTCAGAGGAGAGCTTCTCTTACCTGAAGCTCAGCGTTGGTTCCACACCGGCCGAATTGGGAGGTGTAGGTTGTGACAAAAAGTCCAAAAAAACTTGCCTGGACTTACACATGGCCTGTGATGAAATCCATAAACATTTGGACCATGGAAATACCAAACACGAACGATACCATTACAGGAACAACAACCTTCTCCCCGTCTTTATCTGCTGGCACCCGCATAAGTTCGCCCCACAGAACGGTTTGTGAATATCTGGCAGTGGGTCCGGGTCCCCAGGCACATCTCTTTGAACGACTACCCAAAAGAAGCGTCACTGTGCTAGCATTTCGACACCTGCTTGCCAGGCATGACGGGTGGTTGCCAGCAAGGTCATACGCGGGTGGTTGCCAACCGTGGATTGGACCGTTTCGATGGCCTGTTTCATTCACCGACGACTCGGAGCCTAGCCTGGCGTGACTGGAGCGACGGCGAAGCGGAACGAAGTGGCAGCAAAAACCCATGGTTTAGCGCATGTTGTCCTTCAAAGAGTTCTGTTGGGGAGAGAAAAGGTCCAAATGTGTGTGGCATGGTCATGTGGAGTAACAGGAACTTCATGTTGCTTTGACTTGCTTGGCAAGTTGAGACGCAATTTGCGAATATCCAGTTGAAAAGAAACCCAAACTGGCTGCCAGTGTCAGTCTGGGTGCCCATATTGCACTTGGAATGTGATGTTTCATGTGCCCCAACTGGGGTCGCTTGAGCACGGCAAGTAGAACCGAGGAAATCAATTCCCACCCTACCACCCTGAGATTCTTACTCGCATTGTTTGTTGCTGCGGCACTGGCCATCACTACGTACTTCTCAATTGGTGGTCACCCTGGCGAGAAGGGACTCTGTGGCCAATCACAGTTCTCTTTTCTAGTCTGAGAGCAAGATCTTCCCGTGGTTCTACATGATTCCTTAAGAATACTTGAATACGGTACTTGCAAACGTGACCGTGCAAGCATGACCACTTTGATTACTTCCAGTGAAGCCAGCTAAGAAATCAAAACAACACATGGAACGGGTGCTTCGCCTCCCTGCATGACGGATTGGACGATCTTCCATGTCTTCTACCGCCTCGGCAGGACGTCTCTCTTCGCCCCTCTTTTCATGGATCCTCCCGGCGTTGGGCGTTTGCTTCGTCCCGGCATCGGCGGCATTGGCAAAGGAAGCCGTTCTGTGCCTGCAGGAACCTGGGAGACCCCCGACGTGGCGGGACCAGGACCTCACGGGACCTCGAGCTTCGAGCTTCGATGAGAGCCGACATCACGTAACCGCATGATCCGTATGTGATATTGAGTGGGATCATGAATCAGTATGAGGATGAGGATAACATGATCAGCGATGACGCTGACAATGGATTCCTTGCAATAATATGTTGTAAACTAGTTTGAACTACTACCTGTAGTAGAGGCTCAGAGTGCTTGGGCCAGTTCTTTCATGATGGCCAACTTTAAGGTTTACTTCTCAGTGGATCCAAATGGCAACTAGATGCACTCTCCGATCATCCACTTCGGGATCTATGAACGATGGTTCCTCGGACCGACATGAGGGAAAACATCGGAGTAAACGTAGCTGTGAACATCCAGAATATGTCAATGGAAGGCTGGTCAACGGAGTATCCATCCGACGCGTCTTAACCATCCGACACGTCTTTTTGTAAGCTTTGGGTCGACTCCCAAGGCTTAAAAGGGCCCAAACATGTGCACATCCATAAAACCATGCTCAAAATGGTCAAATCATCAAATCCTTGAAACATCGAGTTCCAATTCGACCGCAAAGCGGGGTTGGGCCCGCCCTTCGACTCAAGCCTTTGGCTCAGCGGCTCGCGGCGCCGTGCCAAAGGCCACTCGAGCAGCTGGGGAGGGCCATAGTTGATTTCCAGTGCCTCCAGGTGCGCCGAGCACGCGGGAGTCGGAGAAGCTCGCGCGAGGGATGAGCGGACTGTGTGCAGGCGGCGTTTTTTAGCACGCGGGATTCGACCAAAGGAACCGACGGAGGTGATCGTTTCATGGAGTCCGGCTGCCGAATTCGTCAGTTCATCAATCTAACCCTGTACGGAGTCCGACTCGGGCTACGCACATTATATGATGAGGTATTCTCCAAAAAGTAAACCTCCCTATTAATTTAAGATCACGATCTTGAATTCTCTTGATACTATCGGTGTTCCCTTTTCCACATTGTCTTACAGTGCCTCCACCAACAGTATACATGTGTGTGCACTGCATGTGTTTGTGCGGTGGAACTGGCAAACATGACACCATGTTGGTTCATTCCATGTGTGGGCCATTGTGTACGAGTGTACTGGAAGGTGTTTCAGGCTCGCTGAGTCATCAATTTGATATTGTTGTGCTACTTCTATGTGCATGCAAACAAATTTAAAGTACTGCAACACGACACTCCTCGTTGTCCTTATCGCAGAGACACAACTGAGATAACACGCGCATAAGAAGGGTTGTCCCTCTCCAAATTGCCGTCATCTTATTGTTTTTGTTTGCTTCGCAGTGGATGGGGCATCCTTCTGGCAAAACGGACATGCGAAGACTACTTTCCTGCGTGTTGTCGTTCTGTATGACTTTCCTTTAAAACGAAATACCGTCATTCCTTTGTCGTCAGATGTGTGTCCGAATTCGGACGATGAGACGCGAGTTCGCATCTCTTCGACCGAGACTGCGGTCCTCGCGTCCTCCTCCCGCGCACAGATGGCGCTCTCGCCCAATGGGGCGCCTCTCCCGCATCGAGATCTCTCATGGCCCGGACCACGGATTTTCCATCATCGGGCCTTGTCCAAAGGCGCGAAAGCGACGACGCAAGAAGCCCAGGTGGCCAAGCAAATGGGATTATTGAGGTTCAGGATGGGTCAGGGTGACAGCTTCTATGTTTCTGAGGGGAACAAGGGTCCATCTAAAGGTCCAACATCTATACTGTGGATTCAGTTGTTGATGGCACAAACCCATCTACATATTTTTTAGATGAGAGGTCCATCTAAACCACCCTACCTTGGGGGATTGTGCCATCTACTCTCAATCCACTATACGAGGCTTAGTTCATGCACTTCACCAGGTGACCAGGATGGTGACCAGGATGAATGAAGCGTCCGATGCACTCCAGTCCTGCGGATCCTCCGATCGGAACAGAAACTCTATGGGTCCCATGGGTGGTGTGTTATGGCCACCGAAAACACCCAAACATGTTTCACTACATTGTCCGAGCACTAAGCCAAAATTCATCGAAACAACCAAGGTTTATGAGTTGTCGAGATTGTGAACCTTGAACTCTACCTACCAAGGGTCACCCTGTGGAGTGCAACGTCAGTTGAAGGATCTTCCACAGGGGCCAAACTGCAGCAGGAGCCATGAAGCAGCGGCGTCCTACCCGACGATTTGTTGCCCGCTTCAGCATCCACTTGGTCTTTCATCTAAGTTGGGGTGAAAAGAGTACCACCTCGCAATAGGTGTGCAAGACTGCATTAATCTTGGGTAATTAAACCCACTACCAGTATGATGATGGTTAGTGAAGGCCGTTCAAAAAGATGCTAATATTTTACCAACTGTTAATTACATAAATGTAGGATGATGTAAGTACTTTGATTTAATAGATGGTAATAAGACACACCCTACATTAATCTGCATAAGGGACAAAGCAAGAGTAAAACAACATATGTTCTAAACAAAAGAAAACGTATCACGCATCCAATTCTTACTCTACATCTTCTTGCCAACCATCACCCCCAACTCTCATGTCACACCACAACCTCCACAGCAATCGCCACCTCCCCAGCATACCCTGGAGTGTCACTGCTGGCACGAAAAACCGCCAAACCGCGTCACCGCCAGGCGGCACAGCTGAACCGCTTTGAAAGGGCTGGAAGACGTAGCCCACGTCCGCCGAGGGCGCGCAGGAGTGGTTCAAACGACTCACCTCGTTCGGCGGTGCGGTGGCGTGCACGGCTGAGAACGGCGTCCACCGGTATGGATCTGGACGTGCCGGCGCGGAAGGATGTCGACGTCTGAGGCTGATCACGTCTGTCGACGTCGCAAGTGGTTCGTGGCTCTGGAAGATGCTCTGGAAGTGGACGGGGGGGACGCAAAAACTGTTGAAAGGTTTCATCCACGACTGAAGAGTTCTTCCGAGTTGGAGATGAAACCACAACAGCATGGTCTTGTGGTCTAAACCAGAATCATGTGGTCCCGTCTGGTTCCGAAGAGTCTGTGGATGATTGCAGTCTATTTATTAAACCATAATCCAGACTCTAATTCATACCAGACAATAGTGGTGGTGGATGGTGTCATCCAACTCGGAACCGAGTTTGCCAGACGTTTGAGTCGGAAACTCCGATTGACAAGAATCTCGTGGTGAACTTCCTGCCTGGTACCCTACCCGGCACCAAGATTGCCCCGAAAAAAGGCCAGATCCACCACCCCGCAGAGGTATTGGAAAAAACTCTGCCAGCCAGGTGGCAAGCCAATGAATGAATATTTTTTTGACTGAGATTCGAATCAAGATTTATTCAAGATTCCAGGAACTTCAAGGTGGGTGCAACGGAATGGAAGTCGTCACACACCTTTGCACTGAGTTCCACCTCGCCAAGATTTCAACACCCCTTCCAACGATTGCATGAACATCTGTGCGCCTTGATTGGAATGCTGGATCCGCGACTCCCTGAACAATCCTAACAAACATGCAAACCTGGCAGCCTACCAGCCTACAGCAGCCTACTGGACTCTTTGGATACACCTGGGATACACCTGCTCTTCCACTCCCCAAAGGAGGTATAAGTAGAAGGAGCTTGACAAGAGGGCGGTCGCATATCTTTGGTCAAAGGCAGTCCATGTGGATAACTATGATGTCCAACAGAATACAATTAGGATGTAATTCTTGGACGAAGCTCCAAATAAACTCCAATGGACATTCGGGTCACCGTCCAAATCCAGGATTGCATGCAAATCTTCGGCGAATAAATGTGCCCCGACACACATTCAAAGATCCTGCGTTCCGATGAAAGAAATGAACCAAATGGACCACCAGACCTTGGGGTTTTGACTCTGAACAGTGGCATGATCCCCATCCTGGTGGCTAAGGGAACCAGGTCCTTCGCTTTTTCTCCGGTCCGTTCTTGGAGTCGCAACTGGATGTTCGACGAGAAACACAGCAGTCACGGCCCAATGGAACTCTTAAAGCCCACATAGGCCAGGCATTTGCGAATGGAGACGACAATGGTCCCAATGTAATGTACTGTCGACTCTTGATTTGTAACCTCCCCCATTACGAAAAGGTGTTTCAATTCCATTGAGGGAGGTGATTAATCAAGAGCCACCTATTGGACCTACACCTCTCCGGTCCGGACCGACGCAGCGTTGTTCCTCCTCGCCTGGGCAAAGACGGCGAAGCGCAGTTCGCGCAGCTCGTCGTCAGCGTCGTTGGGCGGGCGTTGCTGTACAAAGCCTTAGTGAGGGGCCGTTGTCAGTGGGTGCACTTTCCAATACCCAAACACTCCAATGTATGGAATATCTATATTAATTTACCTACACATTTACCCCTGAAACCACCCCAATGTAGACAAGATATAATATGCCGTACATGGAGTGTCTGGGATAGATACCCCCTCTCCAACATTCACGGAAGTGGATGGCATGGCTAGAAAGACCATTCACCTCTACAAAGAGGGGGTTGTCCACTGCCATGTTTGTTTGTTGCAGAGAGGGTAGGGTAGAAGCAATGTGCAACACATCTAGATCATGTGTTCTAGGAATCACTTGCAGGGCATGATTGCATTATTACATGGTTTTGCACTAGTGTGTATGTGTAGCTGTATGTGTAAGTATATATTATGTATACGTGCACCACCTTCTTTGTTCACTACAAGTGATTCACCCTTCTATGATGTTCTATCCATTTGAGGCCACTCGTAAGATATATAGGGAGAAGCCTCACTGACTTGATCCGGGACGTGCTTGGAATGCCTGCATGGTTGACGTAGAAATCTCCACAGTTCCACTCCAAATCTTCAATCTGACGAGCCATTCAGGAGGCACAAACAAACAGACCCTCCAAACCAGACCCCAAACATCTTTTTGGGGAGGTTGTTTGGAACCGACTTCGTGGTTGCGGTCAGGGGGTGAATGTAGTCCAAACTCATCATCCGACAGGTACCATCAGCAAAACCATCCGACCATCAGCTGACCCAGTCTGACTGTGCTTGGTGGGGTGTCTCGATCTTCGGTACAGTAGAGGTTGCCTGGGATCCATCCATCTCACCTGAAGCTCTGGAAGACTTGGGAGTACAGTTCTCTCAGAAACTGCCCAGCTGAAGGGGAGTGTGAAAAAGAGTGCTCCCCAACTCCCTTTGCGGCTATGCAAAACAAAAAACTACTGCAAGGCCTTGGTTTTGTCTATGTGTTTCTTGTCGGGAGGGTAATCTCCAATACCGCGCTGACATGCACTGACATCGCATTGTTCATGCTTTCACTTCACTAACTACCCACCTCCGCCACGTCCACGACCCACACAACAGCAGAAGGAAGAAGATACACTTGAAGTGCTACGGCCTCCAACCGAGGCTCGGTTCGCCTCCCAGCGAAGAAGCACGTCCTTCAACGTCTGCAGCTGCTCTGCTGGAGCCTCTCCCATCGCGGCCTGGCTCTGAACCCGCCAGACAGGACGCGGTGTGGATTGGTGTGGGCTTCTTCAAGGAAGGGTGATTGGTATTAGGATATTACACTCTGACGAACACATCACATGGAAGTGGAAGATGGGGCCTCTGGAAGACGACCTTCCTCTAACAAACAAGGGTTTTTCACTTCCATGTTGGTGAGTGAAAGTGTACAGGACAACATCTGTCAAACAGACTGACAGTGGACTCCAGTGGACCACTGAGTGACATGAGAAGCTTGACATGCAGATTTGGATGTGGATAACTCAGGAAGCTCCAAGTCCGGTGGCATCTGTAGCAAATCTGTACGATTTCTGAATCTGATACTCTCTGCATGTCGGGATATGTCGGGATTGTCTCACCAGCCAAAAGGTCCGCACAGGATGCCAGTTCTGTGGGATTGGGCAACTTGGACAAAGAATGGTCACACCTTTCACCACGATCCAGCTCGCACAAGATTCATAGAGGGTCATAGAGGGATCTTCTGTGATCTTCTGTTGGGTTGACACTCAGCTGATCTCCAGTGTTTAGGTGTTGAGAGCTGCTTGCTCCCACCGTATCCCACCCCACCTGAAGCACTTCCACAGCTTGTTCCTGCGACGACTTTGACACAATCCGAGAGATCTCGGCAGAGTCTCAGAGTGAAACATCATCCTGATCTCACCAGAGCAAGGTTTTGAACCATGCAACTGATCCCTGAATGCGTAGGCAACAGCCAACGAAACAGTTGTTACTGGTCGGGTCCCCGAAACTCGAGAAACAAACCCCACAAAGCACACACAATCCCAAAAGCTCGAGAAGATCTGAAAAAGAAGAACACCAAAACTGAACAACCACAGACATACACAAGCTGGTCGCGACTTTCGACAGCAACAGCCACATGTTTTTCTTGGAAAACCCGCCGCTCGGCCATCGCTCCTGCACTCGGGCGATCGCCTCGTCCGAGAAGCCCTCTCCGGCGGAGAGAGCATTGAAGGTGCCCAAGGCGTCGCCTCTGTCAGGCTGCAAACTAGAAAGAATATATATATTATATATATATATAGTCAAAGTATGTCAAAGTTGTTTTAACTAAACAACTACTGTAATTATCAAATAGCACATCAAAACAACCTTTTCTCCCTGACCTGCCAAAACGAACGGAATGGTTCACGGATGTCAGGTTTGAGATGGGACACTTCCACACCCACATCGATCTGTGCAGAAACTTGAGACGTAGCCTGAAACCTACCAGAATCGAAGTGGAAAAACTTGAGGAATATTTCAGATGTCACGTCAGAGAGTGAACAAGTATATGGAAGTTGATCGATCTTTAGGTTATGTCATTATGTTATTGATTGTTATTACTGTAGTTATTGGACTTCATTCGTGCCACGTTGTGCCAGAGTAAAAGTCTGGTGGAACACCAGCGGCTACCGGCGTCTTTCCTGTCGGTATATTGCGGTGGTCATCTAAAATACGGTGGTTGGAAGCACCGTTGCTGCACCGCAATGGAGGAGGAACATGATCTATTCTTGCCAGAGAAAGAATCTAGTATTATGTGGCACTTCAATATTTGCGTGACAATGGTGACCAATGGAATTGTATGGAAATGTTTACCCAATTGCAAGTTGCAAGCATAGTCATAGTCCAATTTTCACCATCGTCGGTCGACACCATAGTCGGTCCTACCCAAGTTTCAAGTTTCAAGACGAGTTCGATGTTCGACTACCGGTCGCAGCGCTGTCCTGACAATCAGAGGTTGCTATACCGGTCTCCACTGCGACGCACCTGGAGCCCAACTGGAGGCCTTGAGGTGCTTGGGCGGTCATCATGAAGAAGGCTCTGCAGACCTCATTCACGTCATCCGTGGTGATCAGGAAGGGGCTCTCCTGTACGAAGGGAATGGAGGGACGAACAGGTCGGACGTCTTGAGGTCCTCTGCGGACCCCTACGATCCGCTGCATTGGACGGAGGAGAGTGAAGTAAGTATAGGTCCCAAACACTCCGTGGGGATTGGCATATTTGGGGTGGTTGACCTGGGGTCAATGTGGGTAAAATATTCCATACATGGAGTGTTTGGGGACGGTATGATCAGCTGCTCCAAACCAAGAACACACCTCCCATGAGACTGACAATTCCCCATCACCAATGTAACTATAGAGGAAATCTGCAATCTTCCAAACCAACTGTGATAGGGCTACTTCAGTGCCTCCCCGACGCTTCCCTGGATGTCCTCTCCAAACTTTGCATCTGAACAGCTTCACCCACAGCATCCCACAGCCACAAATTCGAGGGAACTCTGAACGACTGAGTCAACAACGGGTTTTGAGACCAAGCGTGGCTTGCATTGTACCATTCCCATCCATTCCCACAACGAGTCTTTTGTCTATGTGGCACACTCCAAAACCAACAAAAAAAACCAACAAAACCCTTTTGCCAATCAATGACTCACTTCTTCCGCCGAACCGCCGCCCTATGCGCGCCTCAAAGATAATCTGTCCTGCAGGGATGTGCCAAGCGAACGTCGGGTCTGGGGGAAGTGGAGGCGTGGAGGGTGCAAGCTTCATGGGCCTCAAAACTGCCGAGTGAAGCGGTTGATGTTGTGGGATGAAAATACTATTGAATTTCTTGTGGTCCACTTTGAACTCTGTTGCACAATACTATCAATGTCAATACCGCAAAATGTAAATGTTATACTTCATGGGTTTGGGGTCAAATGTTCTGGATCTTCATTGGGTGACACAATTCTGTTCGTGCCACGAGGCTGTGAATGGAACAGTATTAACATTGTTTTATGGGCTGCGTAGAACAGACCTGGCACACACCTCTGATCAAACGGAGTTCTATATCAATGTAGACTCTTGTCTTGAGTAATAGAAACCTCACATGAAGAGGTCGTTCAATCCAAAAGGAGGTTTATATTTTACATATATTATGTTCAAGCTTCTCCCAACCAGCCATACAATACATAAAAAACAAAAAACAACGCCTTTCCTTACTTTCCCTCACATCTTCCAACCACTCCGCAGGGCAGCCCTGCTGACAGCCCTGCTGACAGCCCTGCTCACGGTCCCTTGCTCACCCCGCAGGTCGCTCGCCCGGTCGCCTTGGCCGATCTTCTGGGCCGCCGCCAGGCCGCGGCCCGTCCGCGGGTCGTTTGTCTCGACCGAGCGACCGGGGCGACCGGGCGCGGCGACCGGCCTCCGGCGGGGCGGATGCCCCCGGGTCGAGGGGGGGCACAGACCGAAGAGAGTTCGCAATGTGTGCAACATGGAAGTGCAATGAAACAGTTTTGTTTAAGGGAAGTAGATGGAAGTAGTCTTTAATTGTCTTCCCAGAGACATCTTGTCCACTTCCATGTTGGTGAGTCAGAGCTTACAAGTTGTGCTCCCCATGCCCAAAACACCAGTTACTGCCACGTCTTAATCCTGTCAAAGTGAATAGAACCAGTGGTTTTCCATGGTTTTCCAGGTCTTGATTCATTTTGGACTCTTTCACTTCTCCACTGCGAAGCGGGTAGTCAGCTGGTTTGGTTTGGAACATTGACAAACATAGTGCAACAATGAGTTTCCTCAGCTGCCCTGATCTATCCCATCGGTGACCTTTTTCCATTCGGTGGATCTCTACGATCTACGTCGAACCACGGCCGGATCCCCACCGCCTCTGCGCACTCACCCGGAGCTCCACCGCGCCTGACGCAGTAGCCGAAGTTCAAACACTCTTCCGGCCTCGCAGATCGGTGCTGGACCACGTGGGACCACGTGACCACGGGGCATCGCGGCGGTGTTCGGTCACCGTCACCGGGTTCGACGGGAAGCGCGGTAACTGTGCGCTGTTTTCTATGCAGCTGCTGGATGCTGCTGATGGGCTGCTGATGGGTCAAGAGTGGGTTAAGCAACGACTTGGTTCGGCTGCTGTTAATGAACTTTAATTCCTGTGCGCTGTTCATGCTGTTCTCTCCCAAGCAAAAAAAGGTGTGTCTGATGAAGCATCATTTGGATCCTGTGCGCTCAAAAGACCCTATAAGCTCTGTATGTAGGAAAGCTTCTTTATTCGCTGCAACACCAGCAACGGTGTCACTCCAAGTGAGAGCCATTCATGGGCTGCAAGGGGCCAAGCTCCATGAGGCCAACACCCCTCCGGCGTCTTCCCCGACCCTTGGAGAAGTTCACATCTCGTTGGATGAGCCCGGGTCTTCCGCGCCCCGGCACGAGCCCAGTCTATTAATCCAATGATCAATCTACTTCGCAGTGGCAGATTCATCTACTTCTGACAGGGTCTGACCACGCCTGACTCTCTACACCACGCCTTAGACCACGCCTGACGACTCAGCTTGTACAAAGCACAAATGCTAAGATGTCCTTTTCTCAGTAATTATCTTAGCGTTTTCCACGTGTCCTTGAAAGTTGTTTGTTTCCGTGCCCAAGTTTCTTGTCCAACCTTCTTCTGCGTTCCCAGCGGCACTAACGCGCTTTGACCATTGAAGCGCGGATGAAGAAATCGCACCAGCCACCTGCGCCATTTGGTGGAGCTCATCGTAGCAAGAGCTAGGTGTTTTGAGCAGCACATAAACCCTTACAATGGACCCTGGATGGGTATCTTCCCTAGACACCGGTGATTTGTGCGGCTTGATTTGAGCATGCTTTGGTACCACAGCAGGGAAACCAGCTCTGCTAAGCTCGAGGAGACACGTCGGTTTTATCCGTCTCCCATCCCCCAAGACCATTGATTTCGTGTCTAGCTTTGTGGTAAAACACTCCTCATCTACTTGCCATGTAAAACACGTGTCTATGGGTCTATCACTCACAATGAGCTCTCTTTGCAAGCACCATTTTGGAGTTGAGAGACTGTTTTTGTGGCCAGCTTGGGGCCTGGTTGGTTTTGGCTCTGAAATGGTGTAAATAGCCTAGAAAGCACAGTAGCTCTGTACAGCACCAAACACTCTTGGCTCAAATATGGCTAGTGCCAGGGTTCAATACCCTTGAAATCTGTGCAAAGAGTTCTCCTTTTAATCGAAATACTGAGCCCAAACTAATGCAAGTTATCATCACTACCCAAACTCTGTGCAAAGAGTTCTCTTGAGTTCAACCTGCAAACACACTCGGAAAATTGAAACCGGCTCCTTTTCCTGTCCTCCGCTGTTCCCCTGTTCCTCAGCTATCTTCGATTTGGTCCAGTCCCAAGTGCCCTGTCCCATCTTCCGGATGGGGTGCAGCGCACATAGCGCCGCCAAATGAGTGATATGGTCGAGTTTAAACATGTGTTGAAAAGTCACTTCAGAATCTTCAGAATATTGAATTCTATATATTAATATATAATATATATATATACAGGACAATCCAAGAGTCGATATCAGGCACAATATGCTGACAACCAGTGCAAAACATAGAGGCTACTGCATTGGTATGATGAAGCTACTCCAAGCTCCAACCACTGTGACCGAAAATGAACGATGATATTACTCAACGCGCTTGAAAGATTGCAGTCAGCTTGGCATGCTTGGTGGGGAGCAGACCGAAAATGAACATCCCCCTGCTCACTGTTTGGTGTGGCGACAAAGCTCCCCGTGAGCATCTTCGGGGGTTTGCCATTCACAACCAACCACAACCCGGCAGCGAAGAAGATAAATCTCTGCATGATACTTAGTTACGCAGAGGCAAGCTGGGAGCATGTTGACTGCCTTGTTCAAAGTCTTAGGTGACAACAAAAAATGACCATTCACGTTTTGGTTGGCTCTCCCATGTGGTGAAATCAAACCCACCGTTCGCCTGGACTGTTGCACGCCAACAACCTCACATGGCTCTCCTTCCAGTTCGGGTCCTCCCACGCCTGGGCCAGGTGAAAGCCACAGGGACCAACAAATCGGGAACAAAAAAAACAACTCTTGATGTAGACTCTTGCAATAACCCCCCATGAATCCACAATCCAAATGGACGGGGTCTTTATAAATCAAGAGTCTACAGTGAGACTATGTGAGAAGCTCGAGGTCATGAAATGGACCCCCTTTGGACAAAATTCGGGCCTGCGAAGACCTCATCCGGCATTGTAATTACGAGAAGTGGACACACAACATATAGTGGTACATAGCCCACACATTCCATATGTAATCATATATGGAATATATGCCTCCGACCCTCAAACCTGTGACCGGTCGCACCAAAAAGCCCCACACGCAAAGAATTCACCATCATCTACCCAAAGAGTTCACGATGGTATCATAAACCTGCCAAGGACCACATATTAAAAAAGAATACAACGGATTCACTGATCCACAGATCCACATCAAACACCCTCACTTGGTGTCTATGCCATGCAAGATTCAATTGTATTAAGTGGCCATGCATGGTATGAATATCTAAACATGTAGGTCAGAAAGGTAAAGTGTCCAACCAAACTGAAACAGTTTCTGACTTCTGCTCCAGGTGCGGGAAACTTGCCCACAAAAGCACCAAGAACTCTTTCCGGACTTTGCTCATCTCGTGGCTCAATGTCTCAGTACCCCAATCTCACCGTGTACCGCACCTGTGAGGTACACCGTAGACTTCTCCGGAAACCTCCGCCGCACGCCATGGAAGACACGCCCAGACAGCCCGGCCGCTCGACACATGCGCCGTGCGCCGCGCTGTCTAGGCGCACGCGCGTGCGCCGCGCGCAGACTGCTCCAGCGTGGCGCCAGCGAAAGTGGCGCCAGCCAAGCCAGGCGAAGTGGCGAAGCTCCGCTGCACGTGACGGGTCGGCCCAGAATCGTCCACATCGGCGCGCTGGCGGATCGTGGGGGCCGCAGGTGGATTTGGCTCCAATGAGGCCGCATGATGAGGTCGAGTGAAGGGAAAGGCGAGATGGAAGTTGAGGTGTTGATGCAAAACGCAAAAAAAAGACAATGCAAAAAAGTTGAGGTGTTGGACGCGACAGTTGTGATGGTTGCAGCCGTGTATACTGTGACTGTTGTGTATGCTTGTTGCGTGTTTGACTCCGAGGAACGAGTGAAACTCCAAGCAGCTCAGTCATTGCGGCCAGCATGCCAGCCGGTCTGTTCGAGCCAAACACACCGGGGTATCGACATGTCAATGCCTTTGCAGGATTCTGGCAGAAACTCTCATCTCACACAGGGGTATCTTGCACTTTTGCTTCTGACTGCATCAGGTCAACTACGAACTTTTTGTGCGACACCTTGCACTTCCAAAAACCATGTGAGGAAGGCACTTGTGTCAGTTCCACCCAAATTCTTGGGTTGCTCAATGTGGCTCACTAATCCACTGCCCCTATGCAAGCACAAGACTGTTTCAGTTTTCCTCCAGCTAACTCCAAGCCTGGTTGTTAGCAACCTTGTCAGCACTACGCCTGGCTACACCTGAGGACCTGTATAATATCCACGTGGCCATTCTGTGCCATTCTGAGGTGCAACATGACACTCGATTCTCCAATCTCTACATTTCCATAACTCTTGTCAGCTCCCTCCGGCAGCAACCGCACCACCTCCAACATCCGAGGCGCAAAAAAATGACTTGTAGTACTACCAACAGAGGTTGAAGAACCCTATAGACTATCCCATAGGTACCCCAGTGAAGTCCTATAAGTCACTTAACCTCTCTTGGTATGGCTTTGGGTCATGGCACCAGGAGAGTCCCACCCGTTGACCTATCTGGTGTCTTTCCTCCTCCGTTGACCACATGGTGGACGACCGCTCCGGGCTGGCTTTGAGTTGCTTTAGTCCATGTCCCTGGTACGAAAGAAGGCCAAACCATGGAACATTGCCTCAGTTCTATGGCATTCTGCGGCCTCTCTCTACTGCGGCAAATCATGGCTTTCAACTCCTCTTGTCGAACACACAAACACCGGGCCGTGTAGGTCAAATCTTTGGTGCATCCAAAACAAAACATATTGTCAGAAACTGATTGTCACCATGCAGAACAGTTTCAGGCAACTTGGCAAACAACCAAATTCTGACCTCAGCGGTTTGCAGCACCCAGTGCTGCACCCGTTTGGTGTTTTCTCTTTGATCCACAAATGTCATCCTTCTGAGAGGGTGAGACTCGAGCTCGTTGGCTCGTGGGGCGTGTAATGGCCCAGAGGCTGTGAGTATCTGTGCGTCCCCGCAGTGAATCTAGAAAAAATGAAGAGAGCCTGCAGCACATTCAAATCTGTTCAATAGGTCGATGAACCTTGTTTAGTCTTCTTCTATTATGGATTCAAGAGTTCAAAAACAATCAGGCAATATAGAGATAAAATGAGATAACATTTAGATATCCAGGATGAGGCCCCAACAATTAGTGTATATAGTGGTCTTTGATGGTCTTTGTTTATTGGCTGGATTGAGTTTTGGTATCTTTTTTTGCAAAAGTATCATTGAACGTTCACCCCCAGTTTGGAGGCTTGAATGGAGCATTGTGCTGCACCCTTGCGGCAAATATCCGTTTCAATGGCCAGCTCCGTTCTGAGCCTTTGCTGGCGGAATCCGTTCTCCATCCCGGACCAACGAAGGAGGGACGCGTTCCTATTGTCTTGTTCGAAGTTCTGCGGTTCAAACAAACTGTAGGCCGATGTAAAGCACTGCTCAGCCCGGAGCACCTGCTTGTACGAGACCTGAGCGGTGGCGCAGAAGAACCGGTCCACTGACTGGTCGGTGCACAACAAAAAGCAACGGGTAGCAACGGGTCTGTGAGCCAACTGGTGTTGTCTGGTCTCAACCTTGCCACCCAATGATGTGTTGTTGTATGTTTGCATAACATTAACATGCAAAGAGCAACGGCTGACTGGAAAATGGTGTTAATGTGCTTTGAACATCCATCGCAGGTCATAAATGTGAGGCCACACATCTTCAATTGATTATGTTCGTAATTTATACTATATTTGGGTGATGTTGGGGTGTGAGTTAGATAGAGAGACCTACATGCCACCGCGTTTTCTCTTCGAATTTCTTTAATAAAAGGTCTTTGGGCTGCCCGAGGTTGACATCAACCCCGTCTCCTCGGTCCAGTTGGGCTGCAGGTTTGGATGTCCGACGTTATTGGTCCATGGGTACTGTATTCACGTGTTCTATCCTTCTCTCATGCAAAAAATGCAGTGGGTGCATGGCTACAGTCAGTACCACAAGTCTATCTCCAATCAAAAATGCTTGTTTTATGTTGTTTTTGATTGTTACTTTGGATATAGTTTTGGGGGTCCGAAATGTGGATGATGTGGATGTCTTTTCATGAACTGGTGGATGATTGGATGCCCTTGACCTTTCAGTTTGCAACTTCTCTCAAATGAATGCTGGGAGGGAAAAAAAAACAACGCTGGTGCGCAGCGGTCTCCTTCTCTCTTCGCAAAAGGCATTGTTGTAGCAGTCCAATCAAATCTTCAGAAACCCCTCCACTGGTCGCGCTGAACACCCACTCGATCGGGTGCGTTGCATCATGCGGCCGCATAGGAGAAGATCATGCAGGTGGCAGCTAAGGCGATGCTGGACTGAGTGAAGCGTGCCCAATTGACCTAAATCGCCGACAGCGAAGCATTGGAACCGCCCTGAAGGAACCGGTTGGAACGCTGGGGTTCCCACGGGTCATCCGCAGTTCATTCTGATCTTGAGCCCTGTGAGCTTTCTTCCAAACAAACTATAACAAACAAGCTTTCTTCTAATTCGGGATCCATCGAGGTCCAGGTGCAAGAGACGGACCGAGCGATGTTCGTCGGTCCCAGCGTTCCCGGGCGCAAAAAGGGAGGCTACAAGCATTGGAGAAACAGCTGATGAGCTTCAAATAATGGTACATGTATCAAGCAATGGTATGAACCAATGTGCCCAACTACATCCAACAGCCCGACCCGGCAAAATGCGGGAAAGATGCGATGTCTGACACGACCCTCTTTTCCGATTTCAAAGGCTACGGCCACTCATCAAATTTTATCCATCATCCTGATCCTTTTGGAATCATCCCATTAACCTCTTCCAGTTGGATGTTTTCTGAAACGACCTACCACTGAAGCCAGCCAGCCTCACAAGAACCTGCACTCCGGGTCACCGAAAAGACCGTCAAGTCCGCCACGAACTGCAGGCACAAGGACAAGCCTCCCGCGCGGAGCGCGGGTCTCCGCGGATCTCCACGGACGGTGGACCAACAGCACACGGGCTGTTAAGCTTTCGGAGAGGCGCTGCGTCCGGTACTGGCTACGAATGGTAGAGAGTTCTTTATAGAACAAAAAAAGAAACGCTGAACTCTTAGCCACCACCTTCTTTGGTGCGAGAGGCTGCCGCTTGCCAACGCCAAGGATTGCATTCAGTTGCTAGCAAATGTCCTTGTGACGTCTTGGGTGAGGTCATGCTCGAGTGAACTATATATCGGAATCCCATGGCCGACCAACTGCTCTCAAGTAGCCTGGCAGCTGTCCTCACAAGTGAGAGGGATGTGATTTTGATTCCTGTTCAACACCAGGTGTCCTCCAAGACCTCTGGGCCTGAAGTCAAATCCTCATACGCATGGGCTCTCCACTCTGAGAATAAGAATAGAGTCGAAACTGAACTCAAAAGGGCGTCTAATGATGTTTGATGTTCACCTATCTGCCAGGGGCGTCTAATGAGCACCCCTTTCAGTAACACATTCCCGATGTAAGAGAACCCAAGTAACAATTCCGATTTAAGAGAACAACGTTAAAAAGTCCCGATGTAAGAGGACAAGGCAGAACCACGGAATCCGAGATCGGGCGACACGGAATGACACGGTATGGGCTTACATCGGGTTTTCTTAAGGTATGTCCATTGGACACTCCTTAGGCTTAAGGGGTGACCAATGAGCACCTCTTGGTTTCCTCGGGTTTTGACCACCGACACGGAATGACACGGATTGACACGCAGGCGGCTGACGTCTCCAACGACCCGAATCCCAAATCCTGTCCATTCACAAGTATCCCTTAAAAAGTTCTGATTCTATACGAGGAGCCCTCAAAAGCACTTGTCAAACACTTAGATTTCTAAGGGGTGTCCAATGGTTTTTAGCTTAAGGGGCGTCCAATGGACACGGTTTCGATCTACCTAGTACGTATACCTGTGAACAGGGTGCTGGTTGGGTCTTGCATCAAGGGCCTGTTGTTCCGGTCAGGATCCACGTGTGGTGGAGAAGGTCGCCTCATTCTCATCGCCAGCCAGCTCCAGCAAGTGTATTGCAATTAGTTCATGCCGAAATGAAGAGGGTGCCATGCCCCCACAAAGCATTAGCGGCGTGATTTGAGAGTTGGTGGCACAAAGACACAAACCATGCGGGGTCTACATAACTAGCAGCTTGTGCGTGTGATTCTCGTTGCTCCACTCAGGATCCACAGCAACTGCCTCCCTTGGGACAGTGGCCCCCCAGTCCGGCAATTCCGGCCTGACACTAAGGTGTAGCTGGATTCGGACATCGTCCCCCACATGCTGTTGGCTGCCTTGAGCATGCCTCAGATCCAACAAGTCGAACGATGCGCCAAAAACGACTGACCCAACTCTTTGTGTCATAATGAATAATTTAAAGAACATGAACATTCTATTGATATCTATTGTTTCTAAGGGACGATATTAATTGAATGTGAATTTCCCAATCAGCAACCACGAGGCGACGAAATCCAACCATCCCAGCTCATCCTCCAGCTTGTCTAGTGGGGTGAAGCCGGTGCAAACTGCGTGCAGGGTCCATTTCCACTCGTCCAACTGCGGAAGTTATTGTTTAAATCTAATTATATAAATTATATATAATTATTGTTTCTACTAGCTTCTTATTCCTAGTAGTAAGGCCCTTGCTCCTAGTAGCGATGCCCTTGTTCCTAGTATATCGTTCTTGTTCCAACTGCGAGGGCGAGTGGACTGGTAGTTGGACGTTGAAATGTCCCGTCCTTCTGAAATGCCAGAACGCGGGGAACCATTGGCGGAACATTGGCGAAGATGGGCGTTTTTGATCACCCAGTGTTGAAAAACAAAACACATCAAGCTTTTGAGCCTCTATCAGCACACAGGTCACAAGGAATATCTTTGTTGGGATTTCCGGTACTTAGAGACAAGGCATTGCTTTACCATTCCCATTCCCACTCCATGGGATTGCCACTCCCATGCCACTCCATTGGGGTTGAAGGTTGGGGGTCTTTCTGGGGACGGCAGTCCTCTACCAGTCCCAAGGGTCTGGGGCTTCATCGGTGGAACAGGTCGGACCCGGGCACCGGTCCCAGGCACCTAAGGTGGACATGAGGCTCAGGACCCCGAAGAGCACCAGTGGGGCCAAGTTGTGCATCTCCATGGTCAGTATGGCACGCGCATGTTGAGGGTAGGCCGCAGCAATGGGCCCAAACATGATGAGGCCTGCACCATCTGTGTCTCGTTTTTTGGGGGGGAGCGGAGTGTAAAACGTGTATAGATAGATACATAGATGTTTGGATTGGAGCAAGGTGACTGACTGGTGTTGGGGCAGGAACCCACTGGCGACTGACTCGAGGGCGATTTTGGGGCCATTAGGGTCGAAATGTCCTGTTGTTCCCTCTTTCATTGTTCTATCTCGAAGGGCGATATGAACATGGGTGATCGAAGTCTCTAAAAGAATGCATAAAGCCAGGCACTTTCTCTGCAGAAAGAAGTAGAACCACTCCCCTTGCTAGTCCAAAGGAACTTGCCCCCCCCCCATCCATTGGTGGCCCAAGCACCATATCTACGCGATTGATGGTCCTTACGAACGCTTCCTCTTACCAGTTTGGGATTCAATTGCTAAAGGCCTGGTATAAAAGTCCTGTCAGGTCCAAAAGGCAAGGGCTCTGTACATTAAAAGGTCGGTGATGCTGCATCACTCAGCCCATGTGTGTTATCCCCGTGTCTTCTTGTGAGTTAACCGTTTCGATGCAAACAGCTAAGTAGCTATAGACTATGGAATGAAGTTTGCCAGAAACTGTAGGGACAGTCTTTTCGAGCTTCTAACCCAAAAGAAACTGTAGGGGCATTCTTTCTGCCACTGGTCTAAGCCAAAATGACCCACTAGTGACACATAGTGATACTGTAAATGAAATCAAGAAACTATGTTCTACATATTTCTACATTGCTCTACTTTGCTTGAGGATGATGAGCCCAACCACCCTGCATTTCATCCAACAATCCCGCCTATAATTCCAGCGTAGGTCACCGTCACCACCTGCTTACTCCGGAGCGACGCGCCAGGCGCAACACCAAGTGTGTAGCAACATCCAGAAACCTCGTGGAAACCGACTACAACCGGTAGAAGCTGACAAAACACCGGCCAACCAAAAGTTGCGAGTTGCGACAACCCTTTCTCTTTGGAACCAACACAGGGAGACCTCGGACAGCTTGGTCATTTGTTTGCGCCCGGAAACCCTGTTGTTTGAAGATTACAACGGTGTGCTGATTCACCGTCCCACGCCTGCCATGAAAATTGGACTTGTTAATTCAATCCGCAGCTCACCCAGCGTGCTCTATAAACACGCTTAACACACATAAACTTTCGCCCACCTGTAGAAGCTGCATAAACCAACATTGAAATGTTGGAACAAAGCACAACAATACAAAACAGAAATTGAAGAGCAACACATTTGTCATGTCTGGTCATCATCTAAGGTCCCCTGCTGAACAGGAATCTCCCAGCCAGATCAGCCAGGCATGTGTTTTTTCATTTCTTGCCTACCGAAACCCAGGGTGTGATGGAATGACAACGACACGGCCACTCTTGATACCAGCGTGCCACTCAGTTTTGAACCCTTTTTTGGTTGCAAAAAGAGATACAGAGATACATATATCATATATAGCATCTTTGGCAAACCAAACCTCTGGATGTTCAAACCTCCCAAAATACAATCAAACGGCCAGAAGAACAAAAACGCGGTCCGAACGAGCAGGTTTTTGGTGTCCAAGCAGCATGGTGCATCTGACAGGCAAAATTCCGTTGCTGCAGTGCGCAGGTGGCTCGACCCACGGCAGCACAAAGCCCAAAGAAGGCACTCCACATCCATTCACCTTGTCAGTTTGGATGGTAGGACCAAGGGTGATTATTCCCAATATTTACCAATGAATCTGGTGACTCCAAGCCGAAACAAGTCGATGACAGAAACACTTCGATGACATGGCTGTCCACATGTCTGAACATTGCAGAATGCCAGTGATGAACATCTCACGCAATTCATCCTGTGATGTTCATCTCGGGAATGGTTGACACGTTCATCTCGCGAAAGCAATACCTTATTGTTTAGTGTAATGCACCTTTCCACACAAAATCTGTCTCAACATAGGAAGTCTTGACTGTTCCCTCTCCTGATAACGATGGTCGGTGTGATTGAACAATGAAGACAAATGTACCATGATTGCTCCGCTACTTCTATCAATTTTGCACTACTTTGGCGGAGGGTCCTGGTAGCGTTATTAAACGGGGAAGCGCGGGCGGAAGGCACATCCTCGATGTTGTGTCACCGTCGTGTGAAAAAAGGATCCCACAGTGGGCTGGGGACAGAGAGAGACGTATCATCAAGGGCCGCCCTCAAAATCACAGACAACAAACCAAGAACATGCCAACAACATGGTCAACATGCACAAATAGATACCAGTTTACACACTTGTGGCAGTCATCTGCCCTCTTTACTCCTTGCACCAGCTTTCACATCCTCCGCTTTTGGGCAGGCTATGTGGGAGGTTTCTTTGCAGTTCATGCAACGCCTCACAAAATCATCCTCCACGCATGTATGTGCCCACGTGCGACGTCTTCCGTTTGGAAACAGCTCATCACCTGTTCATCGGGACGACCATAAACAAACAAAAATTGAAAGAAGGGGAGTGGCTTATTGTTTAAACAGCTCTATGAACCAACACAATATTACAAAACCTTCGACTACTCTGGGTAGAGGAAGAGCTCCGTGTGTGGGTGGCACGCCCTGTGCGGGTGGATGAATACTATCAAACACTCGAAAAGAAACACCACATAGTCCAAGCCACCTCCAAGTATTACTTATAACTAAACTTAATTGGTATGTTTGTCCTGTTGCAATACAAACCCAGACCACCGGCTAGGAGTTGCGCTTTGTTGCGCAAGCCAAAAGCGAAGGGCTGATACGAGTCGCTGCGCTCACCGTGCGCAGACCCTGCGCTCCAGGGCACCGCCCTCCTCGCGGGCTCCGATCACCGTGCCGACCAACACAGCGATCAGAAGCAGGGGCGCAGCGAGGTGCTCCTCGGCCTCGATGGTCTCAGAAAAGTAGTGCTTCCTCGATCACTTCGAGAGAACATAGAAGTGGAATACTTTCGGGTAAGAAACTCATTTCACAGTAGCACTAGCTTGCTTAATGATGCCTCAGTAGTAGCAGTAGTAGTAGTAGTAGTCGTAGTAGTAGTCGTAGTGGTAGTGGTAGTGATAGTTCGTAGTCTCCAAGGTCACGGGTTTCCAATTCTCCTGCCTCGGTAGAGTGGGTGTGCATTTCGATTTGGGGCTGAAACATCAAAGTGGAGACTGACCATGGAGCCATCCTCAACTTTTTCGCACTCTTTGGTCAAGATGGCCTACAAAAAGACACTCAACTTCAGTGGTCCTGCCAGATTCATGTGATGTGCCACGCATTCCGATTCACAGCTTGCCAATCACACGAAGCACCACCTGAAAAACCCAAAGCAAACCAAGGTGGTTGTCCGATTGCTTGGATGGTCCTTCCGCTCTAGTCTTTGGATTGCGCAACCTTTCGGAAACACTGTCTGTCTAGTCTGCGCTTGGTGTGGTCCAAACATCCACTTCTGCCCCGTTCACAAGCCAACTGTCCACAAGGTCGCAATGCTGGACTGCAGGGCGATCCTGGAACGGTGTGAGGCATGGCATACCTGGTTTTCCCACAAACCCTCAAAAACCTGATTTTCCCTAACAAAAAACAGTTCATGTTTATGAAAACCTTTGTTTTTCATGGTGTTGAGGGCCGCTGGTACATGGTTGAAGGGAGGATGAATCCAAACGGCCTCAAAGGCGTCCTTGACACATTGAATTCAAGGGTCATCCTCGCTTCGAAACATTGGAGGAAGGAAGTTAGGAATCCCTCCACGATCTTCCCAATGAATCGGCTCCCCATGTGGTGCTTCGCCGATGTGGCCAAGCAGGGGCACCCAACAACAGTGGGTGTGAAAACTGAAAACTGGGTTTGCCGATCGATGCATCGACACGATGTCCTGATCGATGCAGGTGTGCAGTCTGACTGGATTGGGCAAACACAGAACAAAAAACACTGTTTGTTTGGGGGAAACGTGCAAAAGTGTTCCTGTCTATGTTACCCGTTACCCGGCTACAAGCTGGCGAGCATTTCCACCCTGTCCAAGCAAGAGCACCTCTGTCCGCACGTGTAACACACCAGCACAGTCAACTAGAACGGCTCAGCATGGCAACACCCAACCACGACTGCCCATTCCAGCCAAGGCACACGAGCAGCACAGCCGTAGCAGGTCCAACGTAGAGGCCGCCCAGCAAGAGCATGGAGCAGGCAGAAGAGAAGAAGCCTGGGCGAAAAGGACGGGCTGTTCCTTTAAAGGGTTTAGAAGGCTGTGACGCCTAGCCGCACAAATAAATACAAGGGCCGCGGGGTCACGATCATCTTGGCCGCGTGTGACATAAAAGGTTCAACAGGATCTGCCGCAGATTGCAGGAGGTTTATTGATACGTATTGATTTCTTATAAGCGCAGGTCTGATACTGTGATCATGCGCAGGTCACGTTCCAGAGTGCCTGGAAAGCTGAACGCCCCGAACTCGGAGATCTAAGATGATCTAAGTTGATCCACCAAATCTTGAAGATCTAAGCTCAGCTCAGAGCAAAGCTCGAATGCTTACATGTAAAGCAAGCTACTAAGCAAGCTATGCTATAGTCTTCGATCACTTCTTCGATCCTAATAGATGTTTTCCTGAATTGGAAAGGGCTTCAATCCAGCATCAAATTGTACAATCTCATAGATCGTCATAGATCATAGATGCCCACACAAAACGGACCATCCCGTGCGAAAACTCCTGGTCGCCTGGCCGCCCCGGTCGCCCTCCGGTCGCGCGGAGACAGCGCGTCTCAGGCTCCGGTCCGAGGCTCCTACCGACAAGGCCTGGACGGCTTGCTCTGCACCGTCCGGGACCACCAGGGGCTTTTCGGGATGCAACTTGGTGAACAAAGCACCGAGAAAGGCCAACGAAAGACCTCGGAGATCGGTTCCAGAGCGAGAAACTCAGCGAGCGAGTTCAGCCGGGAACTCCCGATGGAAAAAGCGGACAAAAGGCGGTGTGTTCTAGAAGGGGAGGTGGTCAGTGGTGTGGTCAGGTGTGCCATGCTGTGGGAGGTCAGGGCTTGTCAGAGCTGACCCTTTTCGCAGATGGCTCCATGCAGGAGATATTTACAGCTATATACCATATAGTACGTATATAATATATAATGTGTTTATATTTAGATCAGGTGTGATTTATAGTGTATGCTGATGACTGCTGATGACGGGCGGCGTGTAGCATAGACATGGACGGATAAATTATACAGTAAAAGGAATGGTAAGGGGCTTACTTCACCTTGATGAGCTGTCAATTGTAGTTTAGTTTGTCTCTGTTTCCCTTCAACAGTAAGACCTTTAGGGATGGTTTGTGGTTCCTTTTTGAAAATAAAGACATAGACATAATAGAACAAATTGTTCCAGCAAGGCAAGATACAGTGTGAATAGATGAGATCCAACACGCCAATTCCAAACTGCGGTGATAGCAGCAAAGTTTTTGCCAGGACATTGCTCGCCACCAGGGTGAATGCAGACAGAATGGCAGCTGAGCGCCCCTGTAGCCAGGCTGCGTGAGTGACCTCTCCCCACAAGAGTACTGTCACTAACATGCCGGAGATGAAAAGCATACCTCGGATTTGTCAAAAAGCACACTTCGCCGAAACGGTAGGAACGGATGCTTTCGAGTTCACTAATTGTTTTACATGTGGAACTGAGATGCCTTTTCCACCAAACGGCCTCATTTCAGGTGGTTTCTGCAAACAAACAAACAAACAAACAAACAGACAGACAAACAAACAAACAAACAACCGCACCCCTATTGAGCCGTGGACATTGCTGACACCCAACTCGACGAACTTAAGGCAGAGCCACCGTTGTGAGCGGACCGCGCAGCACGGATCTTGGTCATGATGCGTTGTATCAACGCTTCCTGAGGGCAAAATGCTTGCCATCAATGAGATGTGTTGACTCGTTGACTGAGGGCTGAGAATGCTAAGGAGATGTTAGACCCATGAGAGCAACGTCATCATAGAGAGAGAGAGAGAAAGAGATTATATATATATATGTTTTATGAAGGTGCATATGAATATAAATATATATATATATACAGAGAGAGAGAGAGAGCGGCTCATTGGAGTTCCGTTCATAGCCTTCCATCTAATTCACCAAACAAATTGTCTTCAAAGGTGAATCAATGTCCACAGTCAACGCCAAGACCGGTGGAGCTGGCAGCTAACAGGCGAAAGTTCGACTGGCTTAGATCATTTCTAAGCAAATCATCTGGCTTTTCCCAATCAGTTCATCTCTGGGTTTAACCCTCTTTCACTGGTTGCGGCAAAAATTTGGTCAATATAAGTTGAGCAACTCAAAGACACCTGTCCGTTGGGGCGCTCAACGGCGCAACGGCCTACGGGGACTTTGGGGCTCAACGGCACACTCCAGACGCTGCAACCCACGGATGGGTTGAACCACTTCACAAGGAAGAGTAGAGAATCAAAAACGCAGCTTTCCACGGACATAGCAACAGATCTGTCACATCTTCGCATATATCCAGAGGTATACCAGTGCCCTCTCTCCCCTTGGGCCGTGCGACCCATCGCCTTTGGTTCATCTTCCGACCCCATTGGAGAACCCCCCATAGGTCCGACGGCCCAAGACACTCGATGAGACGCTCCACTCGGCAGGACTTCGTCATGGTGACGCAGTCGAGTTGAGTCCGCTGCAATGAGCGCTTCACTCGCTGGCACTGGTCCTTCAAGGGTTTTGAGGGCTGCAACAAAGGGGTAGAGGGAGGTAAAAGGTCAGAGTCGAAGACTCCCGTCAGTGGATGGGACGAAAAATGGGTGACAGTTGAGTAGGGCACTCAACGCATCGTTCATCGGATTGGATCGATTCATCCACGGGAGAGTTGGAGATCGACCCCTTTTTGTTTTTCCTGGAGGCAGTTCCAGTTCCAGCAGAGTAGTATGAGTTTAACCAAGTCTAAGGTTTACCAAGATTTCAACCTGCTTCAACCATTTTCCACCGGCAAATGCTGCATCATGTGACCAATTCCTTAGGGCGTCACAGGACAAATGTGGGCATGCACTCTGTACATCATTAATACAATATTATATACATGTACTGTAATATATACAAATATATTGTAATTGTATAAATTGTATAATTAAAGTCATTTAAATAGCAAAAGGATGTAAACGGCCACAAAGGCAGCGCGACACTTCAAACATCCACTGCACCGAACGGTCGAAGACGGTGCCCCGAACGGGGCACGGGCAGTTCCACCGCTCGCCGGCTCTCCCTGATGCCCGACGGCTTCCGAAGCAGTCGGTGTCCGGAGCGCAGAGGAAGTCGGGTGTCACCGAAGAAGCACCAAGTGATTGGTCCAGAGGATCGGCGGATCTGTGAGGATCGAAAACATGCACAACGGCTGGGCACAACGGCTGGGGGCGGGTCTTGCAGGTTTTTGATCTGTCTCCCAACTGTAGTTTTGACTAATAATACCCTTCCATAATATAATAATATATACAATTATATATATGTAAAATGGTGAGCGGAGGATCAACAGCAACTTGTAAAGGCAACTGTCACAACTCAACCAACGGAGATCAAAGAACTCCGTCACGATCAAAAGCAAGCGGTGCGCTCACTTTTCCATTGCGCAACCGTCGGGGGCTCGGATGAGCCAGACTCAAGGGCCCTTGTGCCAAAATGGTCACATGAGAGGGCCGCCATCTCATATCATGATATGCATGTTCCAATGCATACAAATTCACACGCCCTCATGGCGGTGCGAAGATGGGACCATGCTGTCAGCGACACTGTTCAGTCACGCAGCTCTCGGCTGAATCCGTACTTCTCAGCAAGACCTTCAAAATCAGGCTTCTTCCATTTCACCTTTTCAAGGTACATGGCAAAGTCCACGGCCTTGGTAATCTTGGATGGCACTTTTCCACCAGTACCATACTTTGACAAAATGAACCGGAGGTACTGACGCATGTCTTCTCCTTTCTTCGAATTCGTGCGGGCCGTCATGATCATTTGATCATACGTGAGGCTTTCAGCCTTCACCTTATCCATACGACAGATGGTCTGTCCCCATTTCTCTACGGTGCTGATTCCTTCAGGCAAGGGAATCAAGGGATCGGTCACATTGGCCACTGGGAACAAGTTCACCTTTCCAGCTTCATATCCCTTTGGGCTCACAGCAAGGTGCTCCGGTGTCATGGTTGAACCGGTAGGCTCATTGGCATTCAAGAGCTCCCACGGATTCGAGGCCTGAGAGGTCTCATCGGCATCCATGCGTCGCTTCGCAGCATCAGTCATGGCGGACATGGAGGCATCCACGATGACCTGAGCTCCCACAACATTTGGTCGGAGGTCTGGACGAATCTTCACCCAGTCGTTCACACGCTGGAGCAACTGTGCACTTTGTCCGAGACGGACAGCTCGATGGAGAAGGCCGGCACACATGCTAAGATCCTGATCCGTCAGTGGTGACCGGATGTGATATTCTTCATCATCGGTCTTTGCTGCTTTCGACATGATCCTGCGGGACTGAATGGGCGACACTTCACGGTCGTGCGCTCCTTGGAGCAAAAAGGCTGTGCAAAATTCGGTTTAACCGATGCGGCACAAGAAAAATGAGAAAAACAACCAGGACGACTCCTCAGCAACGAACTGGTTCGAGGTGGCTGGCAATGGATGGTTTCTCAACCTAACTAACAAATTCTTAAGTTTCACCAAGCAAATGTTGGATTCACTTCACAACATGCATGCATGGGCCCTAGTGCTCATCTAGTTGACGTTTCTCTGCTTCTGCAGCTCTAGCCTTGGCTTTTTCTTTCTTACCTGACTCTACTCCGGTGTGGATGGTGTATTTCCAAGTGTCAACGAGTTTATAGAAAGGTCCTGTGTCGGCTCGTAGTTTAGTCAACACGTCTGCACACATGAAAATGTTACTAGTCCAAAAGACCATGATGTTCTGCAAGGACATGCTTTCCTTTGCGATGGCATAGTCGATCTGAAGTCTCTTCTCTACGCTAATAGTAGGAGAGCTACACGATTTTGTGACTGCATCGAAGAAACCCTTGCTATCAACAACGAGGCATGCTGTCTTTTCTGGGACTCGTTCTCGAAATGTTCGAGGCGATTGGCCTTCTAGGATCTCAGCAAGCAGGGATTGAATCCACTCAATCGCATCAAGTCCATTCTGACCGGACATGGTTTCTGCTGCTACTGAGGAACGAACTACTCGTCGTAACTTCTTAGAACTCCAATCTATTATCCATACAGGGGATTCCTTGTTCTTCATGATGTCTTTGGTCGTAAGACATAGGATGTATCCACCTTGACTTTCACCGTTAGCTCTAGTACACCAGCCAGCATCAGCAATACACACGATGTGCCAATCTTTTACTGGAACGTGGCTAGGGAATTTCAAACAGATTTTTCTAGTTTTCATTTCCCTCACGGCTTTGTTGTACAAGTGGACGTGTTCAACTTTCCCCTTATCCTGAACCCCTTGAAGATACGAAGCCAGGAATGCCTGTTCCGGACGTGTCGAGTTCGACACCCAGGCTAACTGACCGGCGCAAGTTCTAAGGATAGAAGGATCTGTAAGGGACGTTGAAGCGTTTCCCAAAGTCTTCGTTTCAACATGTTCCAAATTCTCGATGTAATTTTCTTGTCCTACTTCAATTTCCATCGTATTTGGATTTTGTCGAATCTCTACTCCTGTATATCTTATTGTGAAAGTACGATAGTCACCGAACGGCAATTTCTTTCGGAGTCGGTCCAAGGCTTGGTCCATTTCCTTGCAACCTCCACCTAGTAGGTCATCTACGTGTACTCCACATATGCCTTTCAAAGTGTTATCGGACTTACTCCTCAACATAAACAAACATGGATCCAACTGGCTCTGGGTTCGCCCTGCTTCCTTAAGTTCCCTGGTCAGGCGGGAAAACCAAGCACGTGGTGCCTCAGCCAGGCCGTAGGCAGCCTTCTCAAGACGAAACAGGTCATCTGTACTCAAGTTCATCCATTGTTTGTTTTCTGCTGGAGGTCGAAAGTAAATGTTTCTGCAAGATTCATCACCTGACAAAAACGCTGTTTTTATGTCGGCTCCCCATAGCTTCCACTTGGATGCTGAACAAATGGATAGAACAAGGTGCTTTGTTTCCTTACGCAAAGTTGGACTGTCTGTTGCTACCTTTCCTAGGTCCGGGTCCTGCCATCCTACCAAAACTAGACGTGCTTTTGGAGTTTTGGATGTGATATCAGGATCGGATGACTTTTTCCATACCAAGACCCACCTTGCTCTAATTATTCTTTCTGTAGGAATCCCTCTAGCCTTGCAAAGTGAAGTCACCTTATTGTCAATCCAGCTTTGCCATTCCTTTTGCATAGCTTGGAGAAACAGTTTCTTGTCGTGTGGATTGAGTTTGCGGAACTGGACTTCAACCCTTCTTTGCTTCGCCTTGGACTGCGGCGCAGCTTGCAAGCATTCTTCAAAAAGATTCCAGAGACACAGAGGATTCTCAGTGATGTCTTCGGGATGGACGTCAATGGAAAGTTCGAACACATGTTCTGCCTGTTGCAATCTGGCTGTTACCGCTAGTTCGTCTTC